TGTGATGTTTTTTTGTCATTGTTGTTACAGCATTTTTAATTTTTTCACGTGAATTACGAATTTCCTCAAGAACTTCAAATGATAAATAGGTGGCACCTGCACGGTAATACTCTTTAGATAAATAATCTATTATTGAAAATTATTAAAAATTATCAAAAATAATTAATCAATAATTATTAAATATTATTGAATATTATTGAATATTATTGAATATCTTTAATGATTTCTGATAAATACTAAACCAAAAAAATTATGTCTAATATGCATACCTTAAGAGATATTGAAGATGTGAGAGCAGTTGGGGGTTTGCTAAATAAACACACCCTCTCAGGTTATCGGCCCTGCCTTCTCGTGATAAATCACTCGAAGCCAGACCAACAGTGTTCAGTTGAGCTAACCAACAATAAATTAAGTAAAAATCTTTTTTCGAGCTTGCGAGAAAAAAGTAGCGTTCGTGAATTAGAGCTTGAGAAAGCATTGCACAGTTGCATCAAAACTGCTTCTGATCTTGTTAATGAATATAAAGCCCTGTAAGATAAATATTTAGAGAAAGAAAGGAGTTTTAATCATACCTATGCTTATATTGAAAATAAGATTAACCAGCTAAATGATGTAAATACTAAGCTTAGATCCCGAATTACTTCTGAACGAACCTTGGCGCAAGAAGCTTTATTCTCTAATAAGATCACAATTCTTTCTCTTAAATCTAAAATAAGTCAATTAGAATTTAAGTTGGCGCATTCTATACCACGCCCATCTTTCTTTGATTCTGATACAGAGATAACAGATGAGCAAGAAGATTCTGATACAATGCCAGAGATAACAGATACCGATCCTGTCTTCTTGCAATCATGAAAAGATAGTAATATTTTTTTATTTGAAAAATAATATTTTAACTATGTAGACATTGTAATTTATCTATCTATCTTTCTATGAGTCTGCATCTCATGGCTCTTTGTTCAGCTTCTGCATGGAGAACACTATTTCTGACCAAATTCTTATATACTTTGATGTGCCAATGACCATAAGGCAGAGATGAAACTCCATCAGATAATATCCAATGCTTAGTATCTATGGGACAAAGCGCCTTTTTCTCTGATTCAACCAAGGATAAGATATAGTCTTTCGATCAGATGCCTACATTCTTGGCATAAAATACTTTTTTTCCAAATAAACAGTTCCGATATACTTGAGTTATTGGAGATTTACTTTCTGGATATTCTTTCTTAGCCATTTTACTCATGCCCTTCTTACTAACTTCCTTGTGCTTAGACTATATAGACTTATCTGCCAAGACATAGTGATATGATTTCGCCCAGATATGAATAGACTCTGTAATAACATTATTAGGAGTTTCATCCTTGAATTTTCTAATAGTTAGATCTCCATTAAGGTTAAAAAGATTGGGGCGCTCATTCATATCCTTATATATATTCTCAGTTTCAACATAGTATATGAATGAATCTGTGTCCATATAACCAAGACGAGCTTTATCTCCATATTTTTCTTTTACATACCCATACCAGAAGCGATACATAAGAAGCTTGCTAAGTCCCAAAACAGATGCGCCAACTATAATAGGCTTGTTGAGAGTTACGCTAGCTTTTCCCATATGCGCTCCTACTAAAGTATTTCCAAGTAGTCGAGCATACTT